CCAGAGATCAGTGGAAATCAGCTGTGCTAAAGCAGAGAAACCTCTATAGCAATTAAACATCAACAGTAAAGGTCCAGAGACATTTTTTATTATAATCTGTTACTTTAAACAGAATTTAACACAGAAAAAAAAAGAGGTGTTTATGCATACATTGACTTTTTAAATAAAAACAAAATTAAAAATGTTAAAATTTGTAGGGTTTTTTAAGTAGAGAACGACAGTCGTTCAGTTTGGTATATAGACAATTTCCTGATTCACATATTTTATAAAACACCTGAATCTTTTTTTCTGTCTTAATGAGAGCAGTGGGCTTTAGGCTGCCCTGGTGCTCATTTTGAGCCTGAATCCATGTTTATTTTTGATTCTTTTCATGGTGGAGAATCCTGCTTCACAGCAGCAGGTTGAGCCAAACATCCTCTAAATGTGCAGCGTCATCTTTGAGCACCATTTCACTTTTCTTTCACCAGTTCACGACAGTTCTTCCAGCAGTCCACACTTTCTCTGCTCTCTTTTTCTCATCGTCTTCTCCTTCTTTCCCATCGCCCGGCTTGCCACAGGTTTGCCTGCTGTGTCTAAAAGTAGCAGCAGCAGCAACCCAGACTGACAGCAGCTCATTGGATCATTTGAATCACGTGCAGCCTGGTTGCAGGACACTCTAGAGGGCTTTACCGTATTAACAGGAGGAGCAGGTGAAATTAGACACTGTTGTCGGACAACATGTAGAAATGTTTTAAATCAGGTTGGGTCCGGATTAGCCAGCAGGTGGGTCCGGATCTGGACCGTGGTCCGCTAATCCATGACCTCTGCTCTAAAACCTACAGGACAGCGGCCCTCAGGGACCGAGAACTCTTCGGGCATGCATGCTTTGGCCTTTTGCTTTTTTTACTGGAATCGTATGAAGAAAAAAAAATACAAATCCATCACTTTCAAATGATATCGGCTTTGCATTTGGAAAGGCTGCGATTAATCTGCAGCAGATTATATTTAAACTGATAGGACTCTAGTTTAAAGGAGAGAATACTTATTTACGATTAGGATTAAAGACCTATTTTTCTGTATTCATTGAAAGACAAACTGAATTCACTCCTAAGACTTTTCCTCTTTAAGGACCTTTGGGGGGAAAAAAAGTAAATACGTGATACTAAACTGTGACTTTTAATCTGTTAAACATTTTTATAGAGCACTGTGTGTAATTTATTTAGGAAACTGTTCAATTGGCTATTAATTTACATTTAAAAACATAAACCAGTACAGGTTTAATTGTGTAAAGTGCTGCTAAGGATGCCTCCAGATGTTGAGCAGCTGTTCTGAATGAATTCTGCTGGAATGGTCGCTAACTGTTAGCTGTGATCAGAGGAGATGAACATTCACGCCGCTGTGTTTAATTAGGCTTTATTTCCAGAGGATGATCAGCTGATTCCTGTTTTTCAGGCTGTCTGACAGACTGACCGATGCCCTCACCATGACGCTGGGCCGCACCGCACTGCTCCTCAGCCTCTTGCTGTCACAGGCCAGAGGCTTCCTGAGCTTCGGAGAGGATGACGGCATCCCAGACGAGTGGGTGCTGCTCCATGTGGTCCAGGGTCACATCGGGGCCGGAAACTACAGCTACCTGCGCCTCAACCACGACGGGAGAATCATCCTGCACATGCAGAGCCTCAAAGGCGACGCCGATCTGTACGTCTCCGATAAAACACTCCATCCCAACTTCGACACCTACAAGCTGCAGTCGGTCACGTGCGGCCACGACGTGGTGGTGGTGCCCGGAGACTTCAAACGGCCCGTGGGAATCGGAATTTACGGCCATCCGTCGTACAAGGAGAGCAAGTTTGAGATCCGAGTGTTTTATGACCAGGCGGTTCCCCAGGACCCGTTTGAGAGCGGCTCCTACTCATCAGAGGGTGGACACGCCGAAAAGAAATCTGCCCAGGCAGGAGACGACTTTCAGGAGGAGGAGTCCATCTTTTGGACCATTCTGATCGGACTTCTGAAGATAATACTTGAAATTTTGTTTTGAAGGCCACCTCACTGCTGCTACAATGCAGGGAGACGCTTTGACTCCGTCTGAAACAAATGTTCATTTCCTTTGTGTCTGTTTGAATGAAAAGTTGTAGTGATTCAGTTAAAATGCCTTTCTGATCTGAAATCAAATGTTCACACATCACCAGCTGGTTCTAGAATCCCTGTTAAACTGTGGCTTTGTGGGAGATTTTGCTGTAATGTCTGACCTCCATCTGCGACTGGAGAAAGGAGCAAAGATCAGGGTGGATCACTCATGGCTTTGGTTCCTTTAGGGTTGGTGAAATGTTTTCATCTGTCACTTTCTGGGCTGATTTCAAGAAATCTGGTTGTGGGCTGAGAACAGCACATAAGAGTCACACAAACTAAAACCTAGAATATAAGCAACTAATTTTATTTTCTCCTTTAAAAAAATGTACCTACTGAATATTAAATAAATATTGCAATAGTTTCAGGATAAAGTGCTTATTGGCCACAGGAAGAACCTCGTTTATTTGTTAAGCACTGGAAAATTGATCTAAAAATAAGTTGAAATGTCTTAAATTAAGTGTATTTACCCTTCATTTCAGTAAGTAAATGAGATAGTTTGCCAATGAAATAAGTATTTTTACTGTTAAAATAAAATGACACTGTTGCCCTGTTCCATTGGCAAAGTGTTTCTTTTATCTCCTCAATCCAGGAACAAATGCACTTCTTTTTAGAAAAAATTACTTTGATTTAGATTTTTTTTTCCAGTGTGGCGTCCAGCTTCCAGTCTGACACGTTCATCATAAACTAACCAGCTGTAGTTCGAACACATTAGAGCTTCTTTTTTTAACCATAACATCTGTTTAAAGCTAAATATTTCAGTTCAGACTAATTTCTTCTTCCAAGTGGGAAGGAAACGTCTAGAAGCCTTTTAAGCCAGCTGATTGGCAGTTAGCAGCAATAGGTGGGGGTGGGTCAGAACTCGGGATGCTCCATTAAGCTGGAGGAAAAAAGACATGCATCCTGTGGATATGAGGAACCAGCTGAATGCTGATCCACCAGCAGCAGGTAGTTTAGAGGTGAAGGCAGGAGGAGAGCAGCGGAGCCTGGAATCAGTTTATAGAGGATTTTTAACAGCAAGTGTTGGTTTAATGCCCAGAAAGCTGATTAAGCAGTATTATCAGTGTATAAACACCTCTGTAACAACATAACAGATGAACACCAGGAAAGTTAAATCTGATTAAAGGCTGGTTAATTTACCCAAGCAGGATCATCTTCTGCTGGTTGTTGGTCTTTAGGCTCCAGAGGACATTTAACTTTTGCTAAATGAAGTTTTTAATCCATTGGTTTTTTTACCTGTTGGACAAACCGCTTTTATTTCTCCTCCAGTCAAACGTGTCGCCACTGAGCAGAAAAGTTCAACAGTGCCTTAAAATGAGTCTTCAATGCTGTGGATCTTTTTCTAGAAGGCTCAGATAGCTGCTTTCAAAATAAAAGCTGTTTCACATCTTTTGTCTTTGAATGTTTTGTATAGAAATATTTTTTCAGGAATTTAGTTTTCAGTTTAATTTTCTCTTCAATAAAGGATGTTTTTCACCTTATCTGCTGTCTTAGAGTTAAAGATGTAAAATGCTTGAATTTTCTTTTTTTTATATTTGGGGGGAAAATCAACATAAAATATAATTGAATAGTTAAAAAGAAGCCAATAATATACATATAAAAAAGGTGGAGTTATGGAGCAGTGTGCTTGTTCTCTGAAAAGGTTGCCAGTACTCTGTTCAATCCCCACAGCTGCCACTCTGGGTTCCTGAGTAAAACCCTTAACCCCAGACTAGTTATGGGTCCATTAACCCTGATGCGTGGGTGCATGTGTAGAATCCATAGAGCAAAACTCTGCATCGGTGCACGTGTCATTTCCAGACAGTCATGTGACCGATACAGGAGGTGTTTCTAAATGACTGACTCACTAAATGCCATTTAAAAATCTGTCAACATGATGCATCTGCTAAAAAAAAATGTAATCTCTTGCAGTTTATCATTAAACCGATCAACAATTTTGCAGCAGCCTAAAAGGAATAGGAACGTTTCAGTTGTTTTAATGTTAATCGTTTTTATTGCTTTTCCTCTATCACTAAACTTTTCTGAATTAGATCATTTTAAATTGACTCATTTTATTTACCCTTTTTGAATTATGACCTAAAATCCTAGTCCACCAGCATCTTAATTCACATTTCCCCCTAAATTTTCACCTTATACGTTTACACTATTTATTGGCTGCATCTAAAAATAAAGATACTTTCTATTTAAACATAGATATGAAATAATACAATGTGACCTACAATCATTTAAACCATATCATTGTTCTAGGTTATGAATTCAATTCAGTTTAGTCCAATAGGCTGCCTGTAGTGCATTTAAATGTCCAGCAGGTGTCAGTATTCCGTCAGTATCAATACAGAATCAGTAGTTTGGCTTCAAGATGCCTCATTAACCATCACTATGGCCTGGTTAGGGTGTAGAGCTTGGAATCCTGAGGCTGTGAGTTTAAAACCCACTGCCACTCTGGGTCCCTGAGCAAGACCCTTAACTAGTGTTGCACCGATAACAGTATCGGGCAGGGCCCCGATCCAGCTCTAAAATGGTGGTATCGGTATCAGTGAGTACCAACCAATACCAAAACTGATACCATTTTGAGAGCCAAAAGTTTATTCAACTATTGTCACCCATTCCAGGTAGGCAATAGAAGTTCTACTGGATTCACTTGTATTAGTCTTTTTCCTCTTTCACAAAGGTAGGCAGCAGCTTGACAAAACCAAGATGGCATTTATTTATATCCAAGTAGTATGCAGTTCTTCATATATACACACATCGATTTTAAACAGATGGTATCGGGGCCAAAAGTGGCATCAGTGCAACACTACTCTTCACCCCACACTGCTCCCCGGAAGCCCCACAGTGGCAGCCCACTGCTCCCTAAGAGGATGGGTTAATTACAGAGGTACATTTCTCCAAAATGAGTTTAACAAAGTTTTTTTTATTTTAATGATCATTCAGGTTCCAGCTCCTAATCATGGTGCTGATGTTAGTTTGACCTTAGGAAGGAGCAGATTCCTGATTGCAAAGGGAAACTTTAATGGATCAGATGATCAGCAGCTGCATCATGTCAGCTGGTTCCTGGGAGGAACCCAGAGGAGCTGCAGGTTCAGAGTCAGTGGATCAGGACAGCTGGGGGTTCAGCTCGATGCTGTTGATCCTCAGCACCGTCTGCGGCTGAACGATGATCCTCTTCCGCTGGAAGCGGTGCCGTTTCCAGAACACCATGTGCACTTTGGGCCAGGATTGGGTCTTCTCGATCACCGTGGCTCTGACCCTCACCAGCTCCTTCCCCAGGAGAGGCCTGCCGACCAGCGAGAAGTCCTCCGCCCCGACCAGCAGCACCTTCTCCAGGATGATCCGCTCCCCGCAGTCCGCCTCGATGTGGTTCTCGATCAGGATCAGGTCCTCGTTGGTCACCTTCCACTGGCGGCCGGCCAGGTGAACCACAGCGAACAGCCTGCCGAAGTCCTGCTTCTGGATCCGCTGGTTGACGGCGCTCACCACGGCGGCGTGTCTGCTCCGCTCCTCCTCCGCTGAAACCACGCAGCTTTGCTCCGACCACGGAGGCCTGGAGAGGGAGGTCCGGGGCAGCAGGTGGCCGCTCACAGAGCTCTGTGTGCGGGCGGCGCAGACGGGCAGGCCGGGGAACAGCGGAGACTTACTGCTGCTTGTCCTCCACAGGGCAGCCAGGCCTCTGCTCGCCGCCATCTTGACAGGAAGTACACCTGCACTCACTGCGCATGCGCCGTCCAGCACAAACAAACCGGCTCCTTCTTGTTCTTCTTTTTTATTATGGCGGATCGCAACCAAGGTGCACAACGCCACCTACTGTACATGAGTGTGTAGCAACATTACTTTACATCAAATACTTTTTTTTTTTTTGTATTCTGTAGATAAATAAATAAAGCTTTCATTAATCTGTGAATATCCTTTATATTTCCTTCATTTCCCAATATTCCATTAACAATCCATTCTTATCCTGTCCTTCCAACCATCCTTCTTCATTTCTCCCATTCATGTTCATAAGTTTAACAGTTCATCAGTACGTGTTCTACATTTTCTTTTTCTCCACATCCTTCACATTTACCATTATTTTCCCTCCCTATTAAATATAAATTGTCATTTAAATAGGTATGATTCACTCTTAATCTGATCTTCCCTTCTGTTTCTCTCATTAATGATTCTATTTTATACTGATTATTGTACATTATATAATCTTCTTCCTTTCTTATCTTTGTTCCACTTCTTTTGCCATTTTTCCATTTCTTTACTCTTTATTTTCTGTCAGGGTCAAAAGTTACACCAATATTTTATATTTTACTGGATTTGAATCCAAAAAATAAAATCACATCGAAAAGCACAAAAACAGGGAAATAGTTTATACTTTAACATGTCCATAACTCATAAATGATATATTCTTTGTAACAATAGGCCAATGTAAATTCATAATTCAGAGATATTATATTTTAATTATTATTTTAAATGTAAATGGACAGTTTTAATCAAATCATGATTAGAACCTAAGTAAAACTGAAAAAGATAAATCTGCTAAATGACTTTTAGCTGATGGAAACTGATTCTATCATTGTTTTTTGTTTTTTACAGTTTTTTATTGTCAATACACTGTCACAAGTGCAGAGCAACAAAATTCACTCTGCATTTAACCCTTTCCCTTGGGGAGCAGTGGGCTGCCGCCATGCGGCGCCCGGGGAACAGTGTGGGGTTAAGGGTCTTTGCTCAGAGTCCCAGACTGGCAGTTTGTCGGAGTGGGGCTCCAACTCAGAACCTCAGGATTCCACACTAATCACTAGGATCCCACACACCTTATCTCAATCCGACTGAAGATATCACCTTAATTTTTAAAACATAATTAAAACGGAATTGTAAAGAAAAAAGTGAAATGCGTCCAATTGAGCTATCAGTGCATATCATCTTTAGTAATGTATTCAGTACAGGGGCCCGGATCAGTATTACGGGCCCCTGTTTGCCCCTGTCTTGAACCTCACTCTGTTACATTATTTAATTAACTTTTCGATGGATGGATGGATGTTCGTTGGATGGATGGATCCATCTGTAGTATATCTGTAATATTGTGGATGGATGGATTGATGGATGGATGGATGTTCGTTGGATGGATGGATCCATCTGTAATATATCTGTAATATTGTGGATGGATGGATGGATGGATGGATGGATGTTCGTTGGATGGATGGATCCATCTGTAGTATATCTGTAATATTGTGGATGGATGGATTGATGGATGGATGGATGTTCGTTGGATGGATGGATCCATCTGTAGTATATCTGTGATATTGTGGATGGATGGATTGATGGATGGATGGATGTTCGTTGGATGGATGGATCCATCTGTAATATATCTGTAATATTGTGGATGGATGGATGGATGGATGGATGGATGTTCGATGGATGGATGGATGGATTGATAATGGGTGGATGGATGGATGTTCAATGGATGGATGGATGGATGGATGGATGGATGGATGTTCGATGGATGGATGGATGGATGGATGGATTGATGTTCGATGGATGGATGGATGGATTGATAATGGGTGGATGGATGGATGGATGTTCGATGGATGGAGGGATGGATGGATGGAAGTTCGATGGATGGATGGATGGATGGATGGATGGATGGATGGATGTTCGATGGATGGATGGATGGATGGATGTTCGTTGGATGGATGGATTGATAATGGGTGGATGGATGGATGGATGGATGGATGGATGTTCGATGGATGGATGGATGGATGGATGGATGGATGTTCGATGGATGGATGGATGGATGGATTGATAATGGGTGGATGGATGGATGGATGTTCGATGGATGGAGGGATGGATGGATGGATGTTCGATGGATGGATGGATGGATGGATGTTCGATGGATGGATGGATGGATGTTCGTTGGATGGATGGATTGATAATGGGTGGATGGATGGATGGATGGATGGATGGATGGATGGATGTTCGATGGATGGATGGATGTTCGTTGGATGGATGGATCCATCTGTAATATATCTGTAATATTGTGGATGGATGGATGGATGGATGGATGGATGGATGGATGGATGGATGGATTTTCGATGGATGGATGTTCGATGGATGGATGGATGTTCGTTGGATGGATGGATCCATCTGTAGTATATCTGTAATATTGTGGATGGATGGATTGATGGATGGATGGATGTTCGTTGGATGGATGGATCCATCTGTAGTATATCTGTGATATTGTGGATGGATGGATTGATGGATGGATGGATGTTCGTTGGATGGATGGATCCATCTGTAATATATCTGTAATATTGTGGATGGATGGATGGATGGATGGATGTTCGATGGATGGATGGATGGATTGATAATGGGTGGATGGATGGATGTTCAATGGATGGATGGATGGATGGATGGATGGATGGATGTTCGATGGATGGATGGATGGATTGATGTTCGATGGATGGATGGATGGATTGATAATGGGTGGATGGATGGATGGATGTTCGATGGATGGAGGGATGGATGGATGGAAGTTCGATGGATGGATGGATGGATGTTCGTTGGATGGATGGATTGATAATGGGTGGATGGATGGATGGATGTTCGATGGATGGATGGATGGATGGATGGATGGATGTTCGATGGATGGATGGATGGATGGATTGATAATGGGTGGATGGATGGATGGATGTTCGATGGATGGAGGGATGGATGGATGGATGTTCGATGGATGGATGAATGGATGGATGTTCGATGGATGGATGGATGGATGTTCGTTGGATGGATGGATTGATAATGGGTGGATGGATGGATGGATGGATGGATGGATGTTCGATGGATGGATGGATGTTCGTTGGATGGATGGATCCATCTGTAATATATCTGTAATATTGTGGATGGATGGATGGATGGATGGATGGATGGATGGATTTTCGATGGATGGATGTTCGATGGATGGATGGATGGATGTTCGTTGGATGGATGGATCCATCTGTAATATATCTGTAATATTGTGGATGGATGGATGGATGGATGTTCGTTGGATGGATGGATGGATGGATGGATGGATGTTCGATGGATGGATGGATGGATTGATAATGGGTGGATGGATGGATGGATGTTCGATGGATGGATGGATGGATGGATGGATGTTCGATGGATGGATGAATGGATTGATAATGGGTGGATGGACGGATGGATGGATGGATGGATGTTCGTTGGATGGATGGATGGATATTCGTTGGATGGATGGATGTTCGATGGATGGATGGATGGATGGATGGATGGATGTTCGATGGATGGATGGATGGATGGATGGATGTTCGATGGATGGATGGATGGATGGATGTTCGTTGGATGGATGGATCCATCTGTAATAAATCTGTAATATTGTGGATGGATGTTCGTTGGATGGATGGATGTTCGTTGGATGGATGGATGGATGTTCGATGGATGGATGGATGGATGGATGGATGTTCGATGGATGGATGGATGTTCGTTGGATGGATGGATCCATCTGTAATATATCTGTAATATTGTGGATGGATGGATGGATGGATGGATGGATGTTCGTTGGATGGATGGATGGATGGATGGATGTTCGATGGATGGATGGATGGATGGATGGATGTTCGATGGATGGATGGATGGATGGATTGATAATGGGTGGATGGATGGATGGATGGATGGATGGATGGATGGACGGATGGATTGATAATGGGTGGATGGATGGATGGATGGATGGATGTTCGATGGGTGGATGGATGGATGGATGGATGGATGGATGTTCGATGGATGGATGGATGGATGGATGGATGATGTTCGATGGATGGATGGATTGATAATGGGTGGATGGATGGATGGATGTTCGATGGATGGAGGGATGGATGGATGGATGTTCGATGGATGGATGGATGGATGGATGGATGAATGTTCGATGGATGGATGGATGTTCGATGGATGGAGGGATGGATGGATGGATGTTCGATGGATGGATGGATGGATGGATGTTCGATGGATGGATTGATGGATGTTCGTTGGATGGATGGATTGATAATGTGTGGATGGATGGATGGATGGATGGATGGATGGATGTTCGATGGATGGATGGATGTTCGTTGGATGGATGGATCCATCTGTAATATATTTGTAATATTGTGGATGGATGGATGTTCGTTGGATGGATGGATGTTCGATGGATGGATGGATGGATGGATGTTCGATGGATAGATGGATGGATGGATGGATTGATAATGGGTGGATGGATGGATGGATGGATGGACGGATGGATTGATAATGGGTGGATGGATGGATGGATGGATGGACGGATGGATTGATAATGGGTGGATGGATGGATGGATGTTCGATGGATGGATGGATGGATGGATGGATGGATGTTCGATGGATGGATGGATGGATTGATGTTCGATGGATGGATGGATTGATAATGGGTGGATGGATGGATGGATGGATGTTCGATGGATGGAGGGATGGATGGATGGATGTTCGATGGATGGATGGATGGATGGATGGATGTTCGATGGATGGATGGATGGATGTTCGATGGATGGAGGGATGGATGGATGGATGTTCGATGGATGGATGGATGGATGGATGTTCGATGGATGGATGGATGGATGTTCGTTGGATGGATGGATTGATAATGGGTGGATGGATGGATGGATGGATGGATGGATGGATGGATGTTCGATGGATGGATGGATGTTCGTTGGATGGATGGATCCATCTGTAATATATTTGTAATATTGTGGATGGATGGATGGATGTTCGTTGGATGGATGGATGGATGGATGGATGGATGGATGGATGTTCGATGGATGGATGGATGGATGGATGGATGGATGTTCGATGGATGGATGGATTGATAATGGGTGGATGGATGGATGGATGGATGGATGTTCGATGGATGGATGGATGGATGGATGGATGTTCGATGGATGGATGTTCGATGGATGGATGGATGGATTGATAATGGGTGGATGGATGGATGGATGGATGGATGGATTGATAATGGGTGGATGGATGGATGGATGTTCGGTGGATGGATGGATGGATGGATGTTCGATGGATGGATGGATGGATGGATGGATGGATGGATGTTCGATGGATGGATGGATGGATGGATGGATGGATGTTCGATGGATGGATGGATTGATAATGGGTGGATGGATGGATGGATGGATGGATGTTCGATGGATGGATGGATGGATGGATGGATGTTCGATGGATGGATGTTCGATGGATGGATGGATGGATTGATAATGGGTGGATGGATGGATGGATGGATGGATGGATTGATAATGGGTGGATGGATGGATGGATGTTCGGTGGATGGATGGATGGATGGATGTTCGATGGATGGATGGATGGATTGATGTTCAATGGATGGATGGATTGATAATGGGTGGATGGATGGATGGATGTTCGATGGATGGAGGGATGGATGGATGGATGTTCGTTGGATGGATGGATTGATAATGGGTGGATGGATGTATGGATGGATGGATGGATGGATGGATGGATGTTCGATGGATGGATGGATGGCTTGATAATGGGTGGATGGATGGATGGATGGATGGATGGATGGATGGATGGATGGATGGATGACAGAGGGATGATTTTTAACAAAGCTGTTTTTATCCATAATATTTCTATCAATTAGCTACAGTAAAATTAAGTAATATTATGATTTGATTTTATTAAAAAGGTACCATTAGAATGTTTTCTTATATTTAGTGGGAAATATCTTTGTAATATCTCAGTATAGAGTAATGTTCCTTCATTCCAGATGTTCTGTTTGGGGTTTATTGGTATTAACGGGTTTGTCAGATTAAATCATCTATTTAACTAAAACCCTCTAACAGGCTATTCCAGTGTCTATCTCTGGGTGAAATCAGCTCATTTATCGCTCGGTGTTCAGCGGGGCAGAAAATCCTCCATTTTGCAGTTCAGCCCATTTCCGGGTTGGAGAGCAGGCAGCGATAAACAGGCAGCAGCGGACAGGATGGCTCTGCCTGTAGGTCAGCAGTGAAGGGAAGCTCCGCTGTGGTTAACAGAGGCCCTGAAACTCGCTCCATTTAGCGGTTCGCTGCTTTAATAAGAGCTGCTGCTGGTAGACAGACTGTGTTCGGAGCGAGGCTGTAACCGGACCGGGCTGACACTGACAGGTTCGGGGTAAACAGCTCCGAGCTAACGTCCAACTGCGGCTAGCCGCGGGGCTCGCGCGCCACTAGCAGGCTAACGCTAGCCTCTCTAGCGTCACTGCTGCTACTTCCTACCATCCCTACATGACCTGCTTTCCTGTGGGTGGTTTTGGTCAAAATTTTTCGAGGGACTTCAATACCTGGACCTTCATTCATGTTGTTGGGCCGATCCAGAGCTGCTGCTAGAACCCCGGTGAGTACCTGAAGCTAACTCCGGCTAGCTATCTCCAGGTAAGCTGTTCCTAGGTCTGGGAGCGGCTATCCAACCTGTCCCAGCCTGACTAAACTTTATGTAACATTTTTCACCTGTCTGCCTGTCTGGAGATGTTTTATTTATTCTGGTAAACAGTAGAAAATGGTGGATGTAGTCCAGGGAGGTTGTTTACCAACTAAACCAGAACAGTGTGTTGAAATAGCAAGATGTTGTATCAGATGACAGATGTCAGGTTACAGCAGTCTGATACCACTATGCCCAAATTATTGTTCAAACTATCAATCAAAACTCGTCATTTTTGGCTTCACAGTGATTGTTACTAACATTAAAGTTCAGCTGTCTTATTTTTTATTTATGAACTTTATGGGTCTGCAGCCAGTCATTGAACCAAATGTAATGACTTTGTGATCCCTGGTTCTGGTTTTACTGCTCTCTTCCTGTAAGGTTCAGTTTATTTCTATAGCACCAATTCACAACACATGTCATCTCAAGGCACTTTACAGTTCACCAGATCATCCATCAGATTGATTAAAAGTTTTCTACCAGTTGATTGCATCGACACATTGACTTGAAGGCAATCTAAACGTATAGAGTGCATAAACCTGGGTGAGTCCTCTGATTTCTGTTTCATCTAAAAGCTGAAGTTGAGGAATCTGATCCGACAGTTTCTGCCTGCTTTAACCATGATGTAACCCTGCAGCCCGGTTTTATTTCCTCGACCACAGAGGAATCCTACTTCCTCCCCTGTGCATCCATCCAGTATCACTCAGGTGGTGTGAGGAGCAATTATTTACTTTAATGAATAAGATAACATGCCTAAACGTTAGGTTGTTTGTTTCCATATATCGTGTCCAGTTTCTGCCTTTATGTAACTTGATAAATGCAGCTAATCCCTAACCTATATTGCGGCCCCAATTAGGGACGTCCTTTGATCAGAGCAAGGGAAGCTTGAATCACCGTTTTTTCCAGTTACTGAATTTATTTGACTCCTTATCTGTTTTGTTGCCCTGCTCTGTGGTTTTTAGTGAGCTGTGCCTCACTATAGGGATTTCCTTCTTGTTATTCTTGAGTCTTATTCAGAAGTAATCAGGAACCAGAGAGTAGAGACTTTGGGAAGGGAGGAAGCAGGTCTCCATCCCTAAAGGGTATTCAATGAAGAGCCCATCTGGGAGGGGGTTAAACTCTTAAACCCCAGTGCTGTGCTTTTCCATCTCCACCTCTCCTCAGACTGACTACATAACTTGACTGGTGAGATTCCTTTGGCGGCTCTCTGTAGAAACCCCATGGCTAGGCTCAGAGCGAGCCAGTGAGGGAGGGAGGGGCCACAGGCCGCCTGCATGATCCAGTAGTCGGCCTGGATGCTAAACTGGTTTGGGGAGATCCAGTGACCTCACACACATTGTGTTATTACTCTGCAAAATAGTTTTGATTGCTAAATGGAGATATTTAGAGCAGCATGCACAGAATGGCTGCTGGTTAATGTAGAGCCTGTAAACCACTGAGTGCTAACGGTGCTCACATTAGGGAGTTTTATGCTGTTTCTGTTCAGTCAGTGATAAATGGCTTCGGTTAATCCAACCTTAGGTAGAAACATTGATTTCTACTGAGGTCAGTCATGTTTGGTTAAACAAGTCCTCAGAGCTGCCCCTCACGCTCCTCAGAGCTGCCCCTCACGCTCCTCAGAGCTGCCCCTCACGCTCCTCAGAGCTGCCCCTCCCGCTCCTCAGAGCTGCCCCTCACGCTCCTCAGAGCTGCCCCTCACGCTCCTCAGAGCTGCTCCTCCCGCTCCTCAGAGCTGCCCCTCACGCTCCTCAGAGCTGCCCCTCACGCTCCTCAGAGCTGCCCCTCACGCTCCTCAGAGCTGCCCCTCCCGCTCCTCAGAGCTGCCCCTCCCGCTCCTCAGAGCTGCTCCTCACGCTCCTCAGAGCTGCCCCTCACGCTCCTCAGAGCTGCCCCTCACGCTCCTCAGAGCTGCCCCTCACGCTCCTCAGAGCTGCCCCTCACGCTCCTCAGAGCTGCCCCTCACGCTCCTCAGAGCTGCTCCTCAGAGCTGCTCCTCACGCTCCTCAGAGCTGCTCCTCAGAGCTGGTCCTCACGCTCCTCAGAGCTGGTCCTCACGCTCCTCAGAGCTGCCCCTCACGCTCCTCAGAGCTGCCCCTCACGCTCCTCAGAGCTGCCCCTCACGCTCCTCAGAGCTGCCCCTCACGCTCCTCAGAGCTGCTCCTCAGAGCTGCCCCTCATGCTCCTCAGAGCTGCTCCTCAGAGCTGCCCCTCATGCTCCTCAGAGCTGCTCCTCATGCTCCTCAGAGCTGCTCCTCAGAGCTGCCCCTCACGCTCCTCAGAGCTGCTCCTCAGAGCTGCCCCTCACGCTCCTCAGAGCTGCCCCTCACGCTCCTCAGAGCTGCTCCTCACGCTCCTCAGAGCTGCTCCTCACGCTCCTCAGAGCTGCTCCTCAGAGCTGCCCCTCATGCTCCTCAGAGCTGCTCCTCACGCTCCTCAGAGCTGCTCCTCAGAGCTGCCCCTCATGCTCCTCAGAGCTGCTCCTCAGAGCTGCCCCTCACGCTCCTCAGAGCTGCCCCTCACGCTCCTCAGAGCTGCCCCTCACGCTCCTCAGAGCTGCCCCTCAGAGCTGCTCCTCACGCTCCTCAGAGCTGCTCCTCAGAGCTGCTCCTCACGCTCCTCAGAGCTGCTCCTCAGAGCTGCCCCTCATGCTCCTCAGAGCTGCTCCTCACGCTCCTCAGAGCTGCTCCTCAGAGCTGCCCCTCACGCTCCTCAGAGCTGCCCCTCACGCTCCTCAGAGCTGCCCCTCACGCTCCTCAGAGCTGCCCCTCACGCTCCTCAGAGCTGCCCCTCACGCTCCTCAGAGCTGCCCCTCACGCTCCTCAGAGCTGCCCCTCACGCTCCTCAGAGCTGCCCCTCACGCTCCTCAGAGCTGCCCCTCACGCTCCTCAGAGCTGCCCCTCACGCTCCTCAGAGCTGCTCCTCACGCTCCTCAGAGCTGCTCCTCAGAGCTGCCCCTCATGCTCCTCAGAGCTGCTCCTCATGCTCCTCAGAGCTGCTCCTCAGAGCTGCCCCTCACGCTCCTCAGAGCTGCTCCTCAGAGCTGCCCCTCACGCTCCTCAGAGCTGCTCCTCACGCTCCTCAGAGCTGCTCCTCACGCTCCTCAGAGCTGCTCCTCAGAGCTGCTCCTCACGCTCCTCAGAGCTGCTCCTCAGAGCTGCCCCTCACGCTCCTCAGAGCTGCTCCTCAGAGCTGCTCCTCAGAGCTGCTCCTCAGAGCTGCTCCTCAGTGCTGCTCCTCACGCTCCTCAGAGCTGCTCCTCAGAGCTGCTCCTCACGCTCCTCAGAGCTGCCCCTCACGCTCCTCAGAGCTGCTCCTCAGAGCTGCTCCTCAGAGCTGCTCCTCACGCTCCTCAGAGCTGCCCCTCACGCTCCTCAGAGCTGCTCCTCAGAGCTGCTCCTCAGAGCTGCCCCTCACGCTCCTCAGAGCTGCCCCTCACGCTCCTCAGAGCTGCCCCTCACGCTCCTCAGAGCTGCCCCTCCCGCTCCTCAGAGCTGCCCCTCACGCTCCTCAGAGCTGCTCCTCACGCTCCTCAGAGCTGCCCCTCACGCTCCTCAGAGCTGCCCCTCACGCTCCTCAAAGCTGCCCCTCCCGCTCCTCAGAGCTGCCCCTCCCGCTCCTCAGAGCTGCCCCTCCCGCTCCTCAGAGCTGCTCCTCACGCTCCTCAGAGCTGCCCCTCACGCTCCTCAGAGCTGCTCCTCAGAGCTGCCCCTCCCGCTCCTCAGAGCTGCCCCTCACGCTCCTCAGAGCTGCCCCTCACGCTCCTCAGAGCTGCTCCTCACGCTCCTCAGAGCTGCTCCTCAGAGCTGCTCCTCAGAGCTGCCCCTCATGCTCCTCAGAGCTGCTCCTCACGCTCCTCAGAGCTGCTCCTCAGAGCTGCCCCTCACGCTCCTCAGAGCTGCTCCTCAGAGCTGCCCCTCACGCTCCTCAGAGCTGCTCCTCAGAGCTGCTCCTCACGCTCCTCAGAGCTGCTCCTCACGCTCCTCAGAGCTGCTCCTCAGAGCTGCCCCTCACGCTCCTCAGAGCTGCCCCTCACGCTCCTCAGAGCTGCCCCTCACGCTCCTCAGAGCTGCTCCTCACGCTCCTCAGAGCTGCTCCTCAGAGCTGCTCCTCAGAGCTGCTCCTCAGAGCTGCTCCTCAGAGCTGCTCCTCACGCTCCTCAGAGCTGCTCCTCAGAGCTGCCCCTCACGCTCCTCAGAGCTGCTCCTCAGAGCTGCTCCTCACGCTCCTCAGAGCTGCTCCTCAGAGCTGCCCCTCACGCTCCTCAGAGCTGCTCCTCACGCTCCTCAGAGCTGCTCCTCAGAGCTGCTCCTCAGAGCTGCTCCTCAGAGCTGCTCCTCACGCTCCTCAGAGCTGCTCCTCAGAGCTGCCCCTCACGCTCCTCAGAGCTGCTCCTCACGCTCCTCAGAGCTGCCCCTCACGCTCCTCAGAGCTGCTCCTCACGCTCCTCAGAGCTGCCCCTCACGCTCCTCAGAGCTGCCCCTCACGCTCCTCAGAGCTGCCCCTCCCGCTCCTCAGAGCTGCCCCTCACGCTCCTCAGAGCTGCTCCTCACGCTCCTCAGAGCTGCCCCTCCCGCTCCTCAGAGCTGCCCCTCACGCTCCTCAGAGCTGCTCCTCACGCTCCTCAGAGCTGCCCCTCCCGCTCCTCAGAGCTGCCCCTCCCGCTCCTCAGAGCTGCCCCTCCCGCTCCTCAGAGCTGCTCCTCAGAGCTGCCCCTCCCGCTCCTCAGAGCTGCCCCTCACGCTCCTCAGAGCTGCCCCTCCCGCTCCTCAGAGCTGCCCCTCACGCTCCTCAGAGCTGCTCCTCACGCTCCTCAGAGCTGCTCCTCACGCTCCTCAGAGCTGCCCCTCACGCTCCTCAGAGCTGCCCCTCACGCTCCTCAGAGCTGCCCCTCACGCTCCTCAGAGCTGCTCCTCACG